AACTGATATTTGAATATGTTGCTAAGATGCACTCTGCATTAATCCTGGATTAAAGGTGTAACCATGAAAAATGGCATGGCATCACTTTTGTACTAGAACTCATGTCGGAGAATATGTCCTTGGCAAGGATACAATCTAGGCCTAAATGCCATGTTTATGCCACTTAGAACAAGAAACAAACAATGCAGGGCCTGAAATGGTACTTCTTATTCAAAGTTCCTGTAAAATGACTGTTACTTAGGATGGCTGATTTTGGAAATGAGGGTAAGACAAGTTGAATCCTTTATCCTACTGTGTGATTGTCTAAACTCTGAAATGAACTCCATGAAAGGTACACTGTTTGTAGAGTTGTTCAGTAAAGTAAGTAAAGCAAAGCAGTAAAACTACAGACTTCCTTAATGCAAGCCAAAGCTGAACTATCTCATTCCCATGCATGAATCGATTAGATAATCCTTATGATTATAAAAAGTTAATTCTAAAGATTGGGTTGTATTTTTTCCATTAGTGGTTACATAAATGGTGTCTGCCTTTATTGTTCTTATTGAAGAGTAATAACAACCTTGGGCTAAGGAAAAAACCCTACCCTGTTTATTAATATAACAAGTTGGAAGTAGTAACATTCTGAAGCCCCAAATCTTTCATTTTTCTTTTAATGAAACTGAAATGTATGTGGGAGCATTGAATTAGTCAGCTAATCTTCCATGTTACTTCTCTGTTCCAACATGGCTGATTAAGAGGAACAAAGAAATAGAAGGGAAAGATAGGCTGAAGTAAAGGATCACAATTTCTTCTCCAAATAACAGTTTGAATTCTTTAGAGTTTATCAGGTTATATTCTTTATACTTCAATTTTTTTCCACAGAGGTAAAAGTCCTCTAGCAGTTACTAAACTGGTGCCTAAACACAATGATGAACTTTTAATTAAGATGAAGCAAGGCATGTCTCTAACTTTCTTGTTTTTATAGGTTGGGAGTGGTAAGGGAGACCAAAAGTTATCCAAGCAAATGGTTTCCATGCATATGATAATTCCCTATTTTCAACACTATTCCTTCACTTTCTATGGTGATGCAATGATGAAAGGTTAGGTTGGCATCTGACAGCCAAAATGAACACCTAGACTTTTTTCTTATATAACTAGATAATTCAAATCTGCAAAGCCTTGGGATCTCCTTGAGAGTTGCTTTGCAAACTTGGTTGATATCTGCTGCTCAGATATTGCAGCTCTCTCCTTTCTTTTCCACTCCCATGTCTGGCCGATAAAATTTGATCTGTGTCATCAGGGGAAGATGACAATGACAATATAACAATTTCATCTAGAAGTTGAAAGGAGAGCATTCCCCCTCCCCACTCCACCCTGCCACACACCACATTTTTCGTCGAAGTGAAGTAGATAGATATTGAGAACAGCATTTGACCTTGTTTAGGATTAACCTGATTTACAAAGGTGGCTGGTGTATTCTCTTTCTTGATTGCACGTGAAATATTAATGTTCATAGTATAACTGAACGAAGGAAAGAAAAGTAAGAGTGACTTAAAAAAACAGCGAAGAGCCTTGTGGTTCTTAAAAGTAAATAAATGTATGCTCGCATGAGCTTCGGTGGACTGTAACCCACTTCATTAGAAGCACGGCGTATTCTGGAGTTATAGGTACCCTGCATACTTCATGCATCCGATGAAGTCGGCTACTGCCCACTTCGTAAAATTCTTGGTGTTTAAGGTTCCTGAAGACTCTTTGTTGCTTCAGCCCTAACAGAGCAACAAGGCTACCCGCTGGAAGCTGTTACATCGGAAGGCACGACCTTTAAAATAACCAAATCAGGAGAATACCTCACTGGCTGGAAACCTGAAGAACAAGCTTTCCTTTTCTCTCTCCATGGGATAGCCCGCCTTAAGCGAAGAGAGGCTGTTGCGCCCGGCATCTCTTTGACAGTGGCCTTTAGCTTGCCCAGGAGGAAACGGAGGAGCCCGGCTGCAGTTCCCCAGAAGTGCGCAAATGCACAGCGCCTTTCTCTCCGGCACGCTCTTCGCAGAAGGAAAACTGCGCAGGGATAGAGGCTCTTCCGAGGAGTTTCCGGCGTCTTTGCCTGCCGCCGCGGCCATGGGGAGGGGGAGACCCGCAAACCTCGCCGAGCCTGCGTGGCAGCAGGTTGCAAAGGCGAGCCGGGACCCCCTCGAAGCAAGGAGGACGGGGAGGCAGAGGGAGGGGAGGCGCGGTCCGTCCCCTCGGGGGTCGCTCCCGCTCCTGCCTCGCCTGCCTCGGAGGAAGGGGCCGCTGCTGCAGCGCAGGCCGCCGCAAAAAAGCCCGGCGCGGCGCAGACCGGGAGAGCAAAGGCTAAAGCAGGGCCGGCAGGTCCGCGGAGGAAAGCAAATAAATAGAAATCAGACTGTTAGCGAAGGCGCGGAAATTTAAAAATGCTTGGACAGGAAGAGAAGGGGAAAAGAAACCGTCAAGGGGAGGGACGGGGGAAAGTAACGGTTCTCAGGCAGCCTCCCTTCCCTCCCCCTGGGCTGCCTGGCTTCCAGGCGCGGGCCCCCACCGGGCCCCTGCGGCGGGGCGCCCTCCTGCCTCGGCGGATGCCCTGCAGGCGACGCCAGGGGGGAGCAGCGCTGCCCGGGAGGACGCGCGGCGCGGAAGCCATGGGTGGCTCCGACATTTTGAGCGCCTCGCTTTGGGGCAGGCGCGCTCCTCCTGGCTCTTCTTGGGGAAGGAGCGAGACGGGGCCCGTGTTCCTCCTTCGGCCCGGCAATGCAGCGGCGGCGCACCCATGCAAAGGCCGGCTGGGGCGGCCGTTCTTGGCCGGCGCCGTACCTGCCAAGAAGCGCAGCCCGCGCTGCCTGTTGGAGCCGCTGGATTACGCACGTCTTCCCTGCGGGAGAGCAGCATCCATGCTTTGTCCGGCCCAGGCGAGGCCAGGCAAGGAAGATGGATGGCCTAACACGAATCGTGCTACCTCTGCACCTAAGCTTTGTGCTGGAGAAGCCTGCCTTTGCAGAGCCGTGGTCAGGGGCTTGGCCATTAACCCCCGTCCCCCACTCGACGCAGCTGTGCGCGCTTGAACTCCACGGACTACCGTGGGACCTGAGCGCCACGGATGCTGCTGGATGGTTGCCTGTTTCCTGATCCGCCTCTTCTAATTTATTCGGACTGGACCGACTTCTCCTTCATCTCTTTATCTCCAGTGCCAGTGGCATTGAGTTGAGTGGAGCTTTCTTCCAAGTAAGGGAGCTCCCCCACAAGTTAACTACCTTTGGCCTTGGAAGAAATCCAGTCTATGCCACTCGCTTGCAAGGAAACAGGTTCAATGGAAGCCAGAGGAGATTAGTTCCGAGGAAAGCCTAGTTGTAGGAGTGAGGAGTCGCAGGACTGGCTATTTCTTTCGTACCAAGACCCTGGCCCCATTTTAACAACCTGGGGAATGAGGTTCCACTGAAATCGGTTGGATCCGTTTCCAGGTAAACGTCATCTGTGAGTCTTCTTTTAAAAGTGTCTGTAATTGAAACATCCCAGTCACTTCCGAAGACTACCGGGGTTATCTTGTAGCAGGGTTGCTTCACGAGCATCCCCGCCTAGCGCAGAAATCAGTCGCATGTAGGTTTCTGTATCTCGATCTATATTAGGTTATTCATTAACCATTAATCCGATATGCATAGATTTGTGTTTGGTCGTTTAATGCGGCTTCGGTGCGGCCAGAAGAACGCATTGCCTCTTTGATTCCGGGTAGCAGTGCGCTGAAATAAGCACCTCTTTGGGCTACGATCCCCAATATACTTGCATGGAGTAGAAGCTGTGGAAATCCACGAGACTTACTTTCAAATGCGACTTCAGTCTTAAGCTTTCTTGCCTGGTAAGAAGCTCTGTTAAGATCATGATGTTGATCATGCGGCTTTGGGATCAACGCAACTATCCTTTGGCAGTGCCTGCATGTCATAAAATAAAAACTCCTCCAAGTTCATTTGTTTTTGAAATGCTCTAACAGGTTTGTGTACCAGGCTAATTCTGTAGGTCTGTCCTAAAAGTATCCTTAAAAGTGCTCATAAAGATGAGCCCACAACTTCCTGCACGAAGTCCTGGTGAACAAGGTAAATTTACTCTGTCCCCACTCCAAGTATTATTTAAGTGAAATTGCTTTTACCTTAATATGATTTGTTTTTACCTTAATATTAAGAGAGAGGTTCCTAAAAATAATACTGAAACTTTATTTTTTAAATCACCTAAAGAATTGGCCTTGCAACTCTGGTGAACCTTGAAACTCATTTCTGAAACCACACTGAGTTCATAAAGCTTCCTTTAAGCAAGGATCATTTGACTATGTTGTGTTTTGTAGTCCATTAACCAGTTCCTATCACCTTTTATAGTAGCGATAATGTATACCCCAAAAAGAGTATCAGTAATTCAGTTTCATTAAATAAAACAAATTTTAAGGTGGAATTAGCCTACCAGAAATTAATTTTTCATATTCTCAAGAAATCACACCTTCCATTCTCTTCCAAAGTGAGGATTTGTATTTGGATTTGCTTAATATCTCGGCTTTGGTTTCACTAGAAAAGAGACCATTTAGAAAGGGGTATGACTGGGTTAAAATCTAGCTTGCAGAAAAGACTATTAGCAGTGGAACTAACCCTTCTGAAACTCCAGTTTAGAAAAAAGCAGCTTGTAGGGTTCAAAAGAGGCACCCATTTTAACAGCAGGCAAGGGTACGAGATGACATTTATATTTTTTTTTTCTTCAGGGGAGGAAGAAAGGAAGTTTACCCATTCCTGTTATAAACTGACTTTTGAAGTTTTGCAGGCAGTCTGACAATTCAAACTATTGTTACCCACTGACCGAATACAACAATCCAATCATATTTAAAAAGTGAATACCCCTCTCTTCCACATTTGTGATCCATATATTTTTTAGTCTTTCTTCTTACTGTACCTCCCACCTTGGCATGTCCACTGAGAAACTTTTGGAGGGGGTGGGGTGGGAAGGAATCAGAATAAAAAGAAATACACTCCAACTTTGCATCACATAAAGATTTTTAATTAGAAATTGTAGCAGTATGAGAGGTCAGAGCATTTAAAATACTTGATAAAAGTTATAGGTTTTGTAATTTATTCCCATGCAAAGTATATCAGTTTCTAATGCCTCCTTTTTCTACTGGAAAGGTTAAAAACTAAAACATCAGAACCAAAGAGTCCAATTTCATCCATCCTTTTTGGGTGCTTCCAAAAGGTTTATTTGCTCAATCTTTTATAGTATGCTGCTGTTTAGGGTGATTCACTGACTCTCAAAAAGAAACTTTGAATGAAATGGTCTAATCTTAACCAATCATTAGAAACACTTACTCTGGATTAGGTCAACTGAAACAAATGGAACTTTATTGCTAAATGGTATCAACAGACCAGATTTGAGAAGGATCTTAAGACACTTCCAAAAGTCAGATCAAGCCAGTATAATGAGTCTAGTCTTCCAACTTAATCTTCATATGACAATATCAGTTTTCTAAACTGTATTGTGTATATTTTTGTGAATCATATCCCAAATAATATTTCCCTTCACAATCTCAAATTCATGAACTTCCAAGACTTGATAAATGGATATTATAAACTCTGCAAAACATAAGTACTCTTTTTCTGACTTATAACTGCTCTTTTCTGACTGGGAACATTAAAATAAATCCAAGCAGAGATACCTTTTGCCTCACCTACACAAAGATATACTCAATGAATCCATTTAAACCAGGATCCTAAACATGTTTACTTTGAAATAAGTTCCACAGCGTTCAATGAAACTTTCTTCAGAATAAAGTGGTTTAGGAGGAAAGCCACAATAAAAAGAACATCAATAAACAAAAAGTACAATGAAATAGCTCCAGCAAATGCTCTACTTCTGCAGATTGTTGTTAGTGTCACCATTTAGTTAAGTATCAAAATACGTTGGAAAGTTTTCTCCCCACACCTACTCCACACTTCTCCCACTCTGGGCACAAAACCCTGTCACAGCATGCTGGCATACTCCTTCATGGTGTTTCATATTATTTTCTACTAGGCAAGATGCTTTTCAAGGAGTGGGAAGAAAAAAAAATCACAGTAAGCTTTTAAGTAAGGTTTAAAAGTAAAATCTTTTAGGAAGAAAGTCATCCACAAACACAAAGCAGTACCTTATACAGTTTTTTTAAGTGACCAGCAAGGTAAGCAGGAATCTTCTTTAAAAAACAAAACACAACATTTATTGGATATGCACCTCGCTTTTCTGCCAAGAAAAATGGCATTCAGGGTGCAATCCGATGCAGATCCAGACAGCAAAGTTACAATTCCCATGGATGGCTGGGGAATGCTGCGAGTTGGAGACTCATTTTTCCGTCTAGAAGTGCATAGGATTGCAGGCCAAAAGCAGAAAGCGAGCGAGCTGACCTGGGGGCTGGCTTGCTCAGCTCGCCTTCGAGGCAAGCGACCACTGGCATGATTTTCTGGTCCTTTTCTGAGGCGGAAAGAGACGCGACGTCTGCAAGAGACCTACACGATTTGTTGGGATATTCTCAGTAAGAGGGAGGGAGGCGGCGTGTGCGCTGGAAGCCGTGGGCGAAGCGGGAGCACTCGCGGAGCGCTCGAGTCCGGAGCGCGGAGGGTGGGCGCTTCAGTCCCCGCTGACGGCGCCCTCCCTCCGCCTGCTGCCGCAGCGGCCCTCGAGCAGTTCGGCGACCGCGTCCCGCTTGTAAAGCTTGGCCAGGTCGTAGGCGGTGGCGCCCTTCTTGTTGCGATGCTCCACCCGGCTGGCCGTGCGGTCGAGCAGGAAGGCCACGACGGGCAGGTGGCCCTCCTGGGCGGCCAAGTGCAAGGGCAGGTTGCCCTCCCCGTCCTCCACGTTCACGTCTGCCTGGAACTCCAGCAAAGTCTGCAGGGTGTCTAGGAAGCCGCCACGGGCCGCGTCGTGCAGGACGGCGAAGCCGGTGCCATCCTTTAGGTCGGGGTCGGCGCCTCGCAGCAGCAACCGCCGGGCGATCTCCGGATAGCCCAGCTTCATCACCTGGCAGTAGAGGGCGGGAAGGAATAAACATGCAACTGAGCAGGATTCACACATGACGTGCGTATCCCCCAATCCGCTTAGTCGTTCGCCTGGTGTGGTCTAAGGAACCCAACATACTGATTTTTGTGTTTCAGTTGGGCCCGACCCATTTCAAGGGCTCTGGACAGATAACAGAATGCTAATGCTTCTTCTCTATCCTGGGCTACTTTCAGTGTAGACAGCTTACATTTTTAAACAACCATTTGCAAGCGGGAGCGTTTTAGGATCGCTCCGATTTTGCCTGAAACTTGCTTTGAGCTCCTCTCTCACTGCCCAATCCTCATCATTAAATAACCGGCATTCCTGAGGATGCCGCCTCTCTCTCAACCACTCCCCCCTGCTTTTAAAAACGGGGTGAGCAGAGGTTTTGGGTTTTTTTCCAGATGAGATGGAGAGGAGGAGGAGGTCCACCTGCTGAATCCTGAGGGGAGGGAGAAAGGTGGACACACAGATAGATATAAAGAAACTGCTGAAGTTGTCCTTGTCCTATGAGATGCTAAGAAGTGAATAGAGAACAGTGTGGGGGCAGAAAGAAAATGAGGATGGGGTATCTCCCCCCCTCCAGATATATTAAGAAAACCTAACTGGAATAATATTGATGTATAATCCTACCCCCACTTTGAGGGCTGGACATCAGGGGACGTCAATCAGTTCTCTATGATTGATCCCATCCTTCATGCTATGCCCAGTATTAGGATCTATTGAAAACCAGATGTATAGCCGAACCCTAAATGAATTTATTTAGAATCAGTGACCCTAAATGGAATAAGTGGCAGTGCAGTCAATGGTTTCTCATCTAAATATGTTGTTCTTATTTGGGGGAATAAAGCATCTAAAAGCTTTCTTTGTGCATCCAACCAACCTGTTGGAACACAAAACTAGGCTCTGCTGGACTGTACAAGGTAAAGAGGGAATTGGGGGAAGCTAGTATTTTAGAAAAAATTCTCTAATACCCCTGCATCTGTAAGTGTAGTGTAATATAATAACTTTATATGTACATTTTAGTTTTAACATACTGTCCAGAAAAAATAGCTTTTGACAGCTAAGTTTGATGCTGAATTTTACCAGGCAGACTATCCTACTGAAATCAATGGACTTTATTCCCCACAGAGGGTGTACAGGATCACAGACTTAGTTCCATTTGATATTCTTACAATTTGATGAATTCAAGTAAATACACATTCTGGCTTCCTCTACTAAGTGGGAAGGGGTAAAAACCTTTCTGGAGTTCTTAGGTGTCCCTTGAACTGAAGGTTTAAAAAGCTGTTGTTTCCCTAAAAATCTCTTTTCTTTTTTTCTCTTCACTTGTTTCCTTTTGTATAAACCCTTTGTGATTATTGCTATTAAGATTCACCATCATCCCTGCTGCTTTCTGTTAAGACAAAAAATTGATATAAAAGTATCATAAAAGCTTAAGAGCGATCACATACATATTTTCAGCACAGGAAAAGGATAGAGAAGCTTGAAAGTTTTCAGGTTCTTTGAAAACCCTAGTTCTTGTGTCTTTAAAAAGATGCAGCCAGATCTTTTGTACTGCCACATACTGAAGGTTATGCTTTGGTCAAGTTGTTTGCTTTTTGGAACAGCCAGTTTTGAAGGAAGATGTGTTTCTTTGCTTTCAATATTTTTTATCCCTGTTTTACCCACCCTTCTTGAAGGAAAAATATATGTGCATAGCCTCTCTATATATGCCCAATATATTCTCGTTCAAGGAACTTTGTCTTCTACTTTCGGCTCATACAAGGGCACCAGTCACAGTAAACAAGAATGGAAAGAGCTGTAAAAATAAGAGGGAAGTCACAGTTTTGTGAGCAAGGAAACAGGAGAGCCTCGGCTGAAATGGCAGCTACAGAGCTCGGGTGGGTGGGGGGAATAGTTGTATGCTTTGTGGTGTATCTTGTTTTCACTGCAAATAACAGGAGTGTTGTGAGTCTTCTGGAAACAAAAAACATGGTCCTTAAGCAGTTTAACAGAATCAATACACACCAATTATGCTTTTCAGCTCTCAGCATAGCAAACCCTGTGTAATTTTGGGATGAGCAAGGAAAGCAGGAAGAGGCACCTAAGGGTGGAGGATAAAGGGGGGGGAGATGCATGAGAAAATATAATGGAAAAGTTAAAGTTTAAATAACCTTACAGAGTGATTGCAACGTGGATCCCCCCCCCCCCCCATGGAAGTAAACAGATAGGAAGGAAAAGGCCTACAAAAGTAAACCTGACCTTTCTTGGCCAAATCTAAAAAGGCGGCCTGCTCTAAAACACCTGATTCGAAAGGGAGAAGGTGGGGGTGAAAAGTTCACAGCAAATAATAGCGAAAAACTGAATGTGCCAGGGAACAGAAGCCAACATGTGTTTTCACTTTCTTCAGTGTATAATAAAGGGTACGTAATATTGAGGACTGTGTTGATTATCAACTTTCCTGAATTTTCTCATCCACCCACTAAATCTCTCTAGATTATACATACTGAAAATAAGCAGTCAGCCTCTTGTGTTGTGTTTAGCTTTTCTTCTAGGGGTGGGTGTATATGTGTTGGTAGTGCACCTCAAATAATCCTTTATGTGAACTAAAAAGTAGGTGGTAGAAAAAGACATGCCCAAGACCAAAAGAGCTTGGTGTGGCATCCCTGCCTAGAAAATACATCCATGCAAAATTTTAGATTGTCCAGGGGTGGGTGTGGCTCAGCAAAATTCCTGGGTTTTTCCTGTACTTAGAAGAGATACAGGAGTACCATTTTAGAGGCAGAGACATAGCTACACCTTTCCTTTTTCTACATCAGTGCTTGATCATTGAAGGCTTTGCACATTTCCTTGTGAGATGTCAGAGAAGCCTAGAACAACATTGACATTTGTCTCTCACAGACAAGGGGTGGGTGAGAAGGAGGCTGAACTAATCTGAATTAGATGTAAGAAGACACATCACCCGGGAGTTATTAAAGGACTTCATTTAAAAAACTGGGGGATCTCCGGGTCTCTGATTTTCCAGCCCCCACAGAAATGGTACCCAACAACAATATTTGGGAAAGTGGGCCACCTTTTTGCAGTTTAAAGTACAAACTGCATTTCTTTAAGAAGCTGAATCAACAGTCCCAAATGCAGACGATCGGCTGCCTGGCATGAAAAACAGTTGCAGACTTTCACCTACAGTTCTTTCATCTCTTGCGTAGCAGTGTCGTTCATTTTCGTGCATTGTAACACTTTCAGCACCGTTATGCGATGTTCTCAAAAGAAAACATCTTTCAGCGGTCCGGGATTTTAGTTGCTGGAAGGGCCCCAACTGTTGCCTGTAAGTAAATCTAAGCACTGTAAGAGAGTGTATAGAACATTATACCTTCGGCAAGAGAATCCTTGCCATGAAGGGATCCGCCAGATTTCTGCAAGGAGTACGAAGGATTGGGAAATAATTGAGCACCATTTTTTGTTTTTAAGTCGAAGAATCAGGCTGCCCAACTGTTTTCATGTACATCTCGAACTATTCGGTGGCAATAGCTGGAAGGGGGCAAAATATGTTCGCCACGGTGGAAGAGAAAGAGGGAAAGTATAGAAGAGCGAAGCCGCAATTGCCCTCGCTTTCGTGTGCCACTGAACACCCCCGCTTTTAGAAACCTAAACATATAATCGGGATTTCAAAGAATAGGAACGAGGTGTTTACCGACCTGCTCTGAAACACGACCTTGCTGGGATGGTTTCTTCCCCTCCCCCTCCTCCACTTGCTTCCCTGCCCCAGAAAAAAAAAGGGGGGTTGTTGTTCTTTTTCTTTTTAGTCGAGTTAACGTGAACTCGACTTGATGCCGAGATTTAAAACATTATTGACTAGATTTACTTAAGTACGTCACTTTAGGGAGTTGGAGCGGCTAAAGTTATAAAATATGGCAACCAGTTCGCTTTTTTAAAAATGCTGATATTTCTCTCTGCCCCCTCCCTCTTTAAAACGGTCCTCTTCCCCCGTCAAACCAGTTCACCTAGTGGTGAAAGATCGCCTCTGTCCGTTTGGATACCAACCTGCAGCGCAGTCCTCCCAAATCCATTTTGTGCATTGACGTTTACATTCTTTTCCAATAAATTAGTAACTTGCGCTAGGTCCCCTCTGGCAGCTGCGGACGCCAACTCATTCGCAAAAGGTTCGGCCATTCCTTAGGCGAGTGACGATCGGCAACAAGCAGTTAACTTGGGCTTGCAATTTTATTATTATTTTTTAAAGATGATGATGATGGTGATGATGACGATTTTTTTTAACCGGGCATGGCCATCGGAAACTGACAGGAGTGGGGATGTTAATCTTCTGGAGTAGACCTTCTTGTAGTAAATACTCGTAAAAAAACTCCCAGCCAAAAGCCCGCCCCTTGGGTTCACACGTGATACACAGTGCGCCGCAGCCCCGCTTGAAAAGCAGATCTCTGCACCTCTAACACGCACAACGCCCCCCCTCCTCGCCCCGCCGCGAGGACCTTGACCGGGGCGAAACAAATGGATATGCACCCTTCGGCAGGCATCTTATGCCTCCAGAGAGACGCAAGCAGCAAAACTGAAACGTATAATCACAGACGGAGGAGGTGAAGAACAAGGTGGAGGCGGAGGGAGAGAGGGAGGTGGAGGCGGAGGAACAGAAGAAGGGCAAGAAGCAGCCACCCACCTTTCTTTCCAAGGGATGTCCGAGGTCCAGCGCATGCTTCTTTCCCCCTAGCAGCTTCCATTCATGATCTTGAAAGGGTAGGTTGTTCCTTTTTGGCGGTAGTTTTACACAAATCAGCACTCCCACCCGCGCCGCCCTTCTCGGGACTGCCTTTTATTCCAAGTAGCAGCAGCAAGCAGCAGCAGCAGCAAGAGGGTTAAGCGTAGCCGGCAGCCGGTCAGCTGCCAAAGGCGCCCCGTGGCTGCGGGCACAGCAGAAGTCCCCCTCTAGTCCAGGGCGACAACGAGGGGCTCCTCGGACTCGGCTGCGGCATGTTCGAGGCTGTACACCGGCCGGCCCCGCCAGCCAGTGCGCGCTCAGTCATATCCAAGGCATAACGCCGCCGCTTCTGTTGCTGGCGTAGGCTTCGCTCCTCCCGGCGCTGCCCCCTTTCACAGGCTTCGTTCGCGCGGGCTGCAGCAGGAGAGGAGTGGCGGCTCGGGCGCTCGCGGCGGCGCCTCTTTGACAGGAGCCCGGCGGCGCGGTGCCCGCGAAAGGCGACAAAGGCAACTCTCCGCAAAAACTGCCTGCCGCCCTCTTTTTGCCAGGCGGGCGCGACTCTCGCAAACCTCCCGCAGCTCATCTCGCTGGGTCGAGCGCTGCCGAATCCCTTGCGGTCTGCAGCCGGTTCCTCCTCCTCCTCCTCCTCAGGCTGCTGCTGGTTCCCCGTTTCTCCGTCTCCTTTTCCTCCCCCTCCCCTCCAGCAACTTCTAACCCTCATCAGCTTTTTTTGAAAAGGAAAAACATTTGAGCGCTCTTTGACTTGAAACACCCGCCCACATTTTAACGGCACAGATTTAAGGAGGCTCCACGGAGTTGCCGGCGAAAAGCAGGAAGGCCTGGGCGGGAGCGCGCAGTCGCCGCCTCCTTCTCGCCTCTTTTCGGCGCGGCTGGGAGTCAATCGGCTCAGGCCCCGGAGCCGCTGTTTGCGGAGAGGGGGAGAGAGGGTGCACAGGCACTCGGCCTTCCCGGCGGTCCTTATAGAGGAGTCAGGCGGAGAGTGAAGTGAGAGGCCTGTCTGGATGTGAACTGGCAATACAAGCCTAGCTCCGCGCATTGCGACCCGCTCCACGCCTGTGCCGGATATTTGCTGCTACTTCAGTACAGATCCATTTTATACCGATCGGTTTCTTTTTTTACCACTGGCCCAGACATTTACACGCGTTCCACATACGTTCCTCTGTGTCCCCGATTATAATTGTAAGATCGCTGATAGCTCCCCCCTCCCGTCACAATTCGCGCCAAACGGCACGCTTTACTCGTTTGTGTGTGCGTGGTGTGTATATTTACTCCAGATCACTGAGCAGAGAGGGGGTGAATGGAGGTGGGCCAAAAGTTAAGGCTACGTGTAGTGACTTTGCCTTTCGTGGCACAGGAATTTCTTCCTCCGGAGCGAAATCGCTAATCGATACTTCCTCTTCTGCCTTCCGTAGCGGTGCAACCGCCCCGAAAACAGTAATATCAGGCCATTAGACAAGGTAGCTGATGGAAGCGCACTCCCGGTTTTTCTCTCGACGGGTCTTGGTTACTAAGGAGACGGAAGCCAGACAAGGTCACGTTGAAGGGTCAATGTCAGACTGCTCCGACTGTAGCAAATGGGAAACCTTTGCCTCCTCTCTCTCTCTCTCTCTCTCTCTCTCTCTCTCTCTCGCCCCTTGCGTTCTCCCACTTGGATCTATCGCACCTTGAAGAAAATGAGAAGCTGGATATGCATCGCAAATGATTGCCAAGGGAGAAATGGGGAGAGGCTTCCTTAGGTACAGGGAAGAAGGAACAGGGCCAGTGGCTTACTGCCAGAGATGCCAGCTTTATATGGATCTTGAAAAGAAGTATTCTAAACGCTGTGAAAAATTGAGCTGCACCAAACAGTTCACTTTCTTCTCTGAAAGGCAGACTGTCTCAAAATGCTTAAATAAGGATGCCTGTGCCTAATTTGTGTCAGTAGAGACGGAGTAAGCAGTTAATATGTAAGATGGACTGTAAAGGTGACCCCAAAACATCAGTCAATGAGAGGCATTTTTATTATTTCACAGGAGTAGAACCTTCAGTACAGATTCTGGATCTGAACCCTTGTAAATTCTAAGCTGGGCAGACTAGGTGCAGGGAAAACCTCTTGTGAGGCTGCACCATTGTACATGGTATTACAACTTCCTCATTATATATTGTTCTAAATCATTTCTCTGTCCATCCAATCCCTTCTCATTGCAGGTCAGGTGAGTGGCTCAAAGGCCTGAGATGACGCAGAACTTTTAGCACCTAAATTCAAGCACAAGACACTTAGAATTGCAGCTTAGGATACTTAAGGATATAAGTAAAGAGGAAATGTGTACACTGTTGGGATTTGTTTCTGACATAATGCCTTTGTCTTTAGTAGAACAAAGAGTCTTGGAGGCTAATGTTTTTATTATAGCATAAGCTTTTGTGGTCTACTGTATATTTCATTAGATGCATAAAGTGCTATCCTGAATACAGGCATGCATGGAATATTGAAAGTTATTTACAATATCCATTTGCAAAACAATTGGTGAGAACACAGATGCTTTGGCATTGGTAAGTAAATTAACACATCATGTCTATACTTCTGCATTTAATTTTCCTTTGTCCACACTGTATACAATCCCTTTCCGCTATGTATATTGTACCTGTACCTCAGGAGAACACTTCACACATCTGCAGAAATGAGTGGTAGTCCACAAAAGCCAATACAGTTTTGTTAGAGTTGGATCTAGGGTAGTGCTAGCAGAGTTCAGCTTCTGCTGGAAAAAGTGGCAAATTGGGGATAATTGATCTTTGAGATTCCCATTACTCAACTGCTTTCCGAAAAGCTGCTCTGGAAAGCTGGTGAACATTTGGAGCAGCATTGAGACATTCCCTAAGGAAAAGGGGAAGGCAGAATTGGCAAATACTACTTTTCTACCTCCTCCTAACAGGGAGCCTCCATTGGATTCTGGAACCTTCCATGAACAGATGGCTCTCTTCTATTCACAGAATGGACAATCTGGATCCCACCCAGAGTCCTTTAAGGTGCCAACAAAACTTTTTTTGCTGCTGCAGTCTAACAAGGGTAGCCCTCTGAAATTTGCCACTATACTTAATATCTGGGTTTTGGAAAGAAGAGCTGAGATTAATCAAAATAGAATTGACTTCAGAATCGCAGAATTTGAAAGTAGATACAGAGATGTCAATCAGGTCTTTCTTTAGGTATTTTGGTACCCTAGTAGATATGGCACCATCACCGTCCCTCTCTTTTCTTCCCTCTATCCATGGGCTGCACCTGTCTCTTCTCATTCTGTTCAATCCAAGTTATTCATCTTCTCCATTCTCCTTATTCTCTCCTTTACTCTCCTCACCACCTGCCTCTCCTTTTATGCCATGCTTCAAGGAATGCGCCCTTAAAGTGAGGCATTCTAGATGTAGTGGCCTGCACCATAGATGATCTTCATAGCCAGCTCCACCAGAACGCCTTGCTTACCCCTCAAAGTGCAGCATTTGGGTCAGTTCAGCTCTTTCGCAAGCTGTTTTAGCCATTATGTGCTACTGCTGTGACTCTTCAGAAAGCCCACCCAATGACTCAGTTCTAGAAGATTCCTCAGAGAGATCAGATTGGTGAGCTCGCTGACAGGTTACCCAGATGGTTTGGCCCGGACATTGAGGAGAAGCTGGAGCACTGTCACTACCTTTGAAGGGCATTTTGCTGGTCCCCAAATTTGGTGCTGAAGATGACCATCCTGTTCATCTCCTCAGAGAAATAGCCCCAGTAATTACTTGGTTATAAATTTCTTTGAACACCTGAATATGACTTACAGCTACTTTTTCTACTTCTTAAACTTTATCCTAGTTGTCCTTTTCTTAATAGTAAAAATAGATAGATTAATTGGCTAAGCAGGTAAATCTGTATTTTACAATGTGAAGTATATCAGACTTTCTGCTGAAAAGCACAAAATGTATACTTCCTTGAAATTTAAATCCCTTCAAAATGAATTTCCAAAAGGGTGTATTTTGACATCATTAACTCCTTTCAAAAAGACATTACTATACCAACTTCACATTACTGCAGTAAGATAGTTACTGCAATGATAAATTCTGACTGACAAGAAGCCAGATTCTGGCGGAACTTCAGGAAAAACTTCCTGACCGTTAGAGCAATACAATCAATAACTTTGGGATGTTGTGGACTCTTCCATACTGGAGGCATTCAGGGTGAAGCTGTACTACCATCTGTTAGGGATGCTTCAACTATAGGAATATTGGTGTGGTTTATAAATTTTAAAAATTAATTTGGAGTCCTGCATTAAGCAGGGGCTTGGACCCTTATTAGCCCATTCCAACTAGTCTATAATCCATGCTTTTGTGACTAAACCCATTAATGAAACATCCAAAGACACTTTATTATATTCTTTTATTACTCATGTTGGCCAACAGTGATGAATGGTAGAACAATGCCACTCCTAGTGCATTATGCTGCTTCTAATGAACTTCAGTGACATAGCAGGTTGAAATTCCATTAAGCTTACTATAAATAATGAAGTGATGTAGGGCTGCATGCACAATATGTAAAGGCTCAAGATTTGTGGTAATAAAAGGCCTTAGGATAGAGCATGAGCCATCATGAGGA